AGCCTGGCCACTCACGGAATAGCTGAAGAAGGATGGTTTCTTATGGGGGAAATGGCCACATCAACGTTTGAGAACTTGAAGAAGGCGATGACGATGGTGTTGGTCTTAGCTTTGCCAGACTTCACTCAGAGCTTCATTGTGGAGACAGATGCATCAGGCTATGAGCTGGGAGCAGTTCTTATGCAGAGTCGTAGGCCCATCGCCTATTTTAGCCAGGTGTTGACTGCTAGAGCCAGGCTGAAATAAGTATATGAAAGAGAATTAATGGCCATCGTCTTGGCAATCCAGAAGTGGCGACCCTACCTACTGGGGAGGCATTTCATTGTCAGGACAGATTAAAGAAGCCTGAAGTACTTGTTGGAACAACGCATGGTGACGGAAGAGCATCAGAGGTGGCTGTCCAAGTTACTTGGGTACGATTTTGAGATTCAGTATAGGCCATGAGTGGAGAACAAGGCGGCAGATGCCTTGTCCAGGTGTATGGAAGAACTACAGGCAATTGCTCTATCCGTTCCTTTGATGCTTGATTGGGAGGCCATCAGAGAGGAAAGCGCTAGAGATGAGAGTTTGGGAAAGATCAGGACAGAGTTACTGAAGGAACCAGGTAGCCACCCGGGGTACTCACTGGAAGGAGACAAACTGTTGTATCAGGGGAGATTTGTGATGCCCCGAACGTCGATCCACATCCCAAACCTACTCCAGGAGTTTCATGGGAGTGCAGTGGGGGGCCATTCAGGCGTACAGAAGACTTACAGGAGGTTAGCTGGGGAGCTGTACTGGAAAGGGATGCATAAAGATGTTGAGGAGATGGTAGCCAATTGTGAGGTCTGCCAAAGAAGTAAGTACCTAGCGATCTCACCAGGACGATTACTACAGCCGCTAGCTTTGCCGGGTAGAGTATGGGAGGAGATATCTATGGATTTCATAGATGGGCTGCCTCGCTCAGATGGGTTCACAGTGATCTTAGTGGTGGTAGACAGGTTGAGCAAGTATGCCCATTTCATCCCCCTCCAACATCCCTACACCGCAGTAACAGTAGCATCAGCCTTCATCAGAGAAGTGATCAGACTACACGGAGTGCCAGAGGCGATCGTATCAGATAGGGACAAGGTGTTCCTCAGCCATTTCTGGAGGGAGTTATTCAGATTGCAGGGAACAGTTCTCAAGAGAAGCACAGCCTACCACCCACAGACGGATGGCCAGACGGAAGTAGTCAACAGGAGCTTGGAGACGTACCTAAGATGCTTTGTTTCAGAGACACCAAAGCTATGGGAAAAATGGCTATCCTGGGCTGAGTACTGGTACAACACGTCATTTCACTCGGCTTCACAGATGACCCCATTCAAGGTGTTGTACGGACAGGATCCCCCACACTTGGTACACTTTGGGAGCAGCAGTACTCCTGTGTCGTCAGTAAAGGAGTACTTGGAGGAGAGGGACCGAGTGTTAGAGGAGTTAAAAAGACATTTGCTGAGGGCGCAGCAAATCATGAAGAAGCAAGCAGATGGGCATAGAAAAGATATCCAGTTTGAGGTAGGGGAGAAGGTGTTCTTGAAGCTCCGTCCATACAGACAGAAGACAGTAGCCAACAGGAGGAATGAAAAGCTGGCTCCAAGTTATTTTGGTCCTTACGAAGTGATGGAAAAGATTGGGGCAGTAGAATATCGACTGAAATTGCCCCCATCGGCAACTATACACCCGGTTTTTCACGTCTCACAGTTGAGAAAGGCCATTGGGGATCACATCACCATTCCTGAGCTACCGGCGACACTTACGGAGGAGTTAGAGGTGATCATGGAACCCTTGGAGCTGAGGGGTGTTCGCCAGAAAGAAGATGAAACTAAAGAAGTGTTGATCCAGTGGAAGAACCTTCCTGACTACGAAGCTACGTTGGAGCCATACGAGAGGACAAAACATCAGTTTCCTGATTTTCACCTTGAGGACAAGGTGATTCTTTGGGAGGGCGGTAATGTTACGCCGGCCCAGGAGGGGCCGGCTGGACCGGTCCAGCCCGGACCGGTCCACTATTACTCCAGGCGGAAAAACAGAGGGGGAGCGCGGGTCTGAGCGGAAACCAGAGGAGAGCCAAGTGGTTTTGGGTGCGCTTTGGAGGGAAATTTTGAATGTTGGGGGCTGTTTTAGGAAGTTTGTAATTGTCCTTTGTCTTTAATTAGGAGTTTTTGTGAGAATTAGGGCTCATCTTGAATTTGAATTAGTTTGAGATCTAGGGTTTGTTGTTCTTGGGCTCTTGGTGTTGCCGGAGATCGTTGGAGAGTTTTTCCTTCCTCTCGAATTGAAGGAAAGTTGTATCTAGCAAGTGCTTTTCATCTGTTATCGAAATAAAAGTGTTTGCATCATTTTCTCTACGTTTTTATTGGTGTTTTGGCTGTTTTTTTCCGCTGTGGACAGCAGCTTTCCGTGGATCTACTTCAGTTTTGGTGAGAAACACTTGGGAATCCAAGTGTTTCCTATCAATTTCTCCATCAAACCTCTCAATAAATGTATAGCTTCCATAGTAGACCTACCCGGCATGAATCCAAATTGATTTTGAGAAACATTAGTATCACGCCGCAACCTACGCTCCATAACTCACTCCCATAATTTTAAAGTATGACACATTAACTTAATTCCTCTATAATTCGAACACTCCTTTGCATCACCTTTATTCTTTAAAATAGGAATTCACACACATATTCTCCACTGATTTGGCATCTTTTTACTCTTCAAAACAATATTAAAAAGTTTAGTAAGCTAAGAAATTCATTCATCTCCTAAGCATTTCCACACCTCTATTGAAATATCATCAGGTCCAACAACTTTTCCACACTTCATTTTCTTTAAAGCCTCTATAACTTCGATTTTACTTATACGCCGACAAAAACAAAAATCTTTACTTTCATTTAGGGTGATAAAGACACTAAAGACAATCGTATTTTCACATTCTTTATGAAAAAGTTTAGCAAAATACCTCATCCACCTTTGTTGAATATCATCTTTTAAGAATAGTACTTTTTTATCTTCATCCTTAATACACTTCACTTGAACTAAATCTTTACTACTCATATCTCTTTGTTTGCCTAACTTATACATATATCTTTCTCTCTCCTTAGTATATAATCTATTATATAAATCATTAAAAGCTAAGCTCTGTCCAAAACTAATAATCGATGTTAGATACATAAATTTATACTCGGAATAACTTTATAATTTTTTCAATCTAAACGATCTAATTTTCTTATAAGAAAATAATCAATCTGCGTTTTACTATATCAATTTTTATAAGTGATAAGATGCTCATTTATTTTCTTAAATAAAGTATTAGCTATTAAGAAATTATATGCTAAGGAAAAATTTAATATAATCTTACCACCTTCATTTGTCGTTCCTAACCCATGGCCACCATGGATGTTTTTAAAATCATCTACCAACATGTTCATTTAAATCTCCTCCAAAAAAAACTATTTTTTCAAGAGGTATATTTTGTATTAATTCTACTAAGTCATTATAAAATTTTAATTTTGAACTCATATCTAAACCTATTTGAGGAACATAAGCGCTTATAATATTAATAATCTTAGCATCAACAACAATCTTTAAAGTTATAATTCTATCTCTAATTTTGTTAATTTTTATAATATTATCCTTCAAACTCTTATCTATAATCACACCTACACTATTTCTAGTATGACTCCTACCTGAATACCATAATTTATATCCGAAACTATTAATCTCCTTAGCTTTCTCTCCAATCCATTTAGTTTCCTGAATGCACAGAATATTTATCTTCCTATGAATCATAATATCTATTAATTCCATTAATTTTCCTATAAGGGAGCCTATATTCCAAATTTCTATTCTAATTTTAGTTTCAAGGATTAGCTTCTTTGTCCACATCTGTCCTTGATGTGGGAACCATTACCTGTTTAACACTGCACCCGAACGTCGTTGCAGCGGCCCTTGCACACTTGTTACTGCATTTAGGCCATACAGCGTGTCGCTTCCAGAGGACGCCCCAGCATTAACACAATTTTTTAAAGGATTCATGTCATGATTATTCAACAAGTTTTATGCTGGCTATCGACTACCAAATGCAACCCCTCCATTTTTCTCATCCAGGACTTGGGATCTGGCAACGACAGTGTTATACTTGATAGATAATCAAATAATAAAATTTAAAATAGTTTTTCAACTTTTCTACATTAATTATTGGCAATGAGACTGGACAGACAAAATTAATGTTGGCCTAAAACCTATGGGTCATATGATAGTCTACTCAGTAATGTAAATTATGGCCATGCTTACAAGGAATGTCATTCTTGTATTGAATGATTAAATATTTAAATGAAATTTAATTTACCTTAGTAAGATTTTATTTTAAGTGGATTTTTGGAGGCCTTTTGATTTCCAACTGTGTGGGAAAAAGCAACCAGCGGAGGCACCAACTTGTGAGCAATAAGTCCAGGTACCAACTCATGGCCGACAAGTCTTGGGCGTCAACTTAAGGGCAACTAAACTTGGGTGCCAAGTCAGTCATGGGTGATGGATAAAAGAAATCCACTCACCCCTATCTCAAGCGAGTAAATTCTAACTATTCAGGCTCCTTAAGTCAAGTCATGAGGGGCATGACTCTCTAGACCAACGTGACTTGATTTATAATAAAGGTTTAAAGAAGTGGGCTCTTAGGGATCCACATAAAGACAAAAATTGAGAAGAAAGCAACAAAACTTCTGAAGAAGCAAGCACCTTAGTGAAACATTTCCAACCAAAAAAAAAAAAGATCTACAATGATGAGGGACCTAAATATAATATACTTATATAACCAATTTAGGTTGAGCAATCAAAGACCAATAAAATGGTCCAACAAACACGAGAAATGATGGAGATTAGCTGTTTGGATATATCAATAATTTTTACTCTCCACATCTTAATGTTTTTTTATTCTTGATGTAATCAGTATTCCTAAAACAATACCTACCACATATGATGTTACAAGCAAGTACCTGGACAGCATCACCAACCGTGGTGGTCATGTCATATGTTATTTCTTCAAAAGTTTCATCCAGAAAGAAAACTATCGTTGTTAGCTTTTTTCCAATCAATAGAGCTTCAATCTCTTCACGCGCGGGAATTGTCAATCTTGGCCCAGCCTTCACTGATCGTTTCAAGGAATTTAATGTGTTCAAGGCAAGGATTTGAACTTCTGGATCTGTTTTGACCCCTTGAACCACATTATGAACATACTCAGATAAATATGCCCCAATATCCATACTCGGTGGCATAGAAGAAGAAAATAAATACATCAGCTCCCATGCTTTTACTAAGCAGCTCCTGCCAAAAAGAAAGTAAAAAGAAAGAAATAAAGAAAGAAACATGAATGAAAATTGAAACAAGCAACCGAAACATTAACACATGGCAATCTCCTTGCATTATCTGAAAAAGTACCTGTCAGGATTATTGCGAGTTTGTTTTGAAATCTGCGCAAAAAACTCATCACGAAGTTCAGAACGCTTTAAAGTTTGCTTATAAAGCTTTGTAATAAGTTCAATTCTCTCATCCAAGCTCAAAAAAGTTAATTTGTCTGATGAATCAATTCCCATATATTTTAATATCATTTGGAAGATCTTAACTGAACGGCTCACAAGATCACTGTTAATCTTAAGCAACGAAGTTGGAATAGGATCCTGCTCATAAGAAAGTCAGGATATATCATCAAGAACAAGACCAAAACTACAATTAAAAAATAGAACTCTCATTTTCTTTAAATTGACACAGGTACGATGAATAAAATGCACTAATATCAAAAGAAATAGATCATTATGATATGCCTATGTGCATAATAAATTTTCTGCCTTTTGATATCCCTGAGTTTATAATTCAAATCACAATAAAAAATCGAAGTAAAATAATTTCTTGGCCCTTGAGTTCCTATATTACTAGGTGCAAGATGCTAGCAAGTGATTAGAACAAGACAAAATAATATATCAACAATCATGTTTGGGAAAACACAATAAAGAACTACCTTCTGGAAGCATAACATATCCTCCAATGTAAACTTTTCATTAACTGCGGGACCTATAGATTTTCTTGAGAAAAACACACGCTTTCCAGCAGAATTGATTTGCTTCTGCATAGCTCGTAAGAAATTCTCAACCTGCAAAAGATGAAGGATTAGGGAAGAAAATGTTTAGCAAGAAAAACAATTTAAAACAAGTTCAACGAGAGTTCTTGTAGGGTAAGCATGAATAAAAAATAAGCAATCTGGGAAGTTACTCAAGGCCACCTTGAAGTATTTTTTGGAAAATACTAGCTGAAATCTTCAAGACGTTAGTGTTTGGTTAAACGCTTGATAAAATCATGTTAAGATTGATATCTGCAATTGCAGTAAGAGTTGTGAATTTTGGTTAAAAACTTAGGTGTGGTTATTTGCTAAAAAACTATAATGGCACAGGTGTTGTGTATTCGCATATGCCTTCACATGTATTTAATAAGTATTCGGTGGGTTTCAATGAAATGACTCGCATTCAATGGGCCGCACAGAGGAACTTTCTTGATGGACATCAGGCCCCACTCGCTCGGGACAAAGAAAGGTCGTCCCTCTCAGAGGCAATGGAGAACCTTGTCAACCAAGTAACTCGCCACATGCCTCATCACTCATGGAAGGAAAGCAGTCATCACAGTAACTTGGCCCCATCCAAGGTGGATTTCTTTCTCCCCACACATCCAAGTCCAACTGTGATGTAGACAAAAGGGGGGTCAACACTTGTCCAAAATAAATCATATTTTGACTTCCCTTGAGTCTAGTAGTTCATCATATTTGAGCTAAACTTTTAGTTCATTTATGAGCTGAACTTTAGTTCATTTATTGAACTAAGGGTTAGCTCATTATGAGCTAACAATTTTAGTTCATATTTATCTTTATTTAAATGCACTTTTATTATAATTTTTAATGTCTTAAAAGTTGTCTCTTGGATTTCCAAAATATGGCTTTTGGGAATCCAAGATTGTTGTTTAGTCTTCCCATGTGTGGCTCCTTGAATTCCACCATGGGAAGTTGAATTTTGTGCTTTGCCCCTTGGGATCTCACGGCTGGCTCCTTATTCCGTGTCCGCCCTTCGGTTCCCGTGGCTGTGGCTCTCGGTCCGTGCGGTTTCCTTCGTCTTCCGTGGCCGTCTCCTTGATTCCTGGTTTGGGTGTAAACCGAGAGCTAGGGGGAAAGTTTTCTATGTGTTCTAAATGCTTTAAATTAAGTGTTTGTGTCCTTTTGTATTCCCCTTTCATACCTATAAATATAGGGGGTTATGTAATATTTTGAAGAAGTTGAATGAAATTTGATTTTTGGAAAAATCAGTTAACCTGCGGGTTGCTCGGAAATCCTGCGGGCTCTTTCCAACCTTCTTTTCTCATCCCCTCCGGAAATCCTGCGGGCTCTTTCCACCCTTTCTTCTCGGGCTTCTATTCTCTTCGTCTCTCCGCAAGTGCCACTCCACCTGTATCCTTCTTCTCTAAGTGCAGCAACTTTAGGGTGTCTGTCGTGTTGTTTGCAAGTCGTCGTCATAGTTTTTTTTATTTGGTTTTAAAATTGAAATATAAGAGTTTGTTCTTCCCTATTATTCGTCTCCTTTCTCGTCCTTTTCTCAATTTCGTCGTTAGAAGTTCGTCAAGTCTCTTTGTGGGCGAAGGGTATAGGCTCCCTATATCTTTTGCCCGCATCAAACTGCAGGAAAGTACCTACCCAAAGGGCCCCTCCGACCACTAAGATCATCTTCTTTGCAACATCAACTGATTCGCCATCTCTTCTAAGCAGTCAAAGGCACAAAATAGGTTGCTAGTGGCTCCCAGTAATCACCCCACCATCAAGCACCCTTTGCTCGGAACCCACTCGCAGACTCGCCCACTCCTACTTAATACAACCATACTATGGAGCTTGCCTAGAGCACACTGGGCATTTGTGAGCTCGCTTAGAGAGAGATCATCATAGCTCTATAACGCCTGCTCTCCCTCAGCAACCAAGAGGTGACACGTATCTAAGATAGTCTACGTAGCATTTATATGTTATTTCTGTGTGGAATCTGATTGTGTTGACCAATCGAGTTGTACTGTTGTCTCAGACCTCAAGTCATTTTTCTGTGCTCGCTTGGGGGTGCGAGGGGTTCTCCCCTTGCTTGGGTTTGGGTACTTTGCACCTTAAACTTTTTTTACCGTACACAACGTCGATGCTGTGTACCCGAGCACCCCGGTGCTATAAAGCTTGATAGAAGAAATGGAAGAGAGCATAGCACCGCAACGTCATGGAGTATCGTAGCACTGTGGGTTGGAACGCCGCAATACTTCAAGCGAACTAAATAATTGTTTTCACGTTTTTCTCAATGCTGGTGTCCCTTCGTATTAGTAACTTGGCTTTCTCTACTGTTTAGAGTGCGAGAACGATGTAAGAGATAAGAGAAGCAAGGAGAAAGCAAGAGAGAAGAGAGATCTGTACTTATTTCTCCCCATTTTCATATTGGATTTCTTGGTGCGGTGAAGCTTCATTATTTTTTCCTGATTTCGGATTTTTCCATGTTAAATACAGGTGTTCTTTACTTTTCGCTGCTTTTAATTTATTGTTCGTTTCATCGCGTCATTTACTTCCATCTCCAATATTATATTTGTTTACTTTTATTAAATAAATTTAAATTACAAAGATTGTAAAGTTATTCCGAGTGAAAATTTATGTACCCAACATCGATTATTAGTTTTAGACTTTAAGATAAATGGGCATAAAAAAATAAAAAAAAAAATAAAACGATTTTCTAGCATTAGATGGGGGCATTTAAAGAATATTAGCAAAAATATTTTTTAGAATAAGATTTTAGATCTTAAGATTTTGTCTACGCATAAGGATGCTAATATTATGTGGGAAAAAGTGGCTAGTGATATTAAGAATATTGCAAAAGATGTCCTTGGAGTATCAAAGGGAAAAGCTCCTAATAGTAAAAATGGTTGGTGGTGGAATCCAAATGTGCAAGAAAAGATTAAAAATAAGAAGTTTTGTTATAAAAATTGGTTTAATTTTAAAAATTCTGATAATTGGGAAATATATAAAGTGGCTCATAAGGATGCTAAGAAAGCAATCTGTGATCTAAAGACATTAGCTTTTAGTGATTTATATGATAGATTAGATACTAAATAGGAAGAAAGATATATGTATAAGTTAGCCAAACAAAGAGATAGGAGTAGTAAGGATTTAGTTCAAGTGAA